GGTTGCATCTGTTTGCAGTTTGTTGAGGAATTTTTGTACGCATCTCTGTTCCATAAATAATTCCTTGGAATTAACACCATAGATAAGTAGCGCAATCAAGGTAGGTGCACTTTGGTCCGCCTATTGGGAGGCATGATTGTGTGATAAGAATTTATCTGTTGCACGAAAGTGGAGATTAGAATTCAAGAAATGGAGAGATAATATGACAATGAAATGTTTTTATTCTGTTGGTGAACTAAACAAAAAATCTTCGCCTTAAAAACTTCTGCACGGTTGTGTGTAATTGCTTTTAACCTGTTCACTGCATAGATACTTTGAAGAGGACCATTTTGCTTCCATTTTTCAAAAGGCAAGAAAAAATAACGTATTTTAGGAGTTTTCAAGGAATTTAAGAAACTAAGTTTAAGCGAATATCGCGTTCATGTTTAGTTGTCTGTCACTGCATGCGACTGCGCATTAGTCGGCCCGTCCTTGAAAACACGGTAAAATACGCTTTAACTAAAGAATTGTGCGGCAAGCATTATGGGATTAGTTGGAGTACTAATTGCTGTTTTGTTCTAAAAATAAATTTTCGAAGACGAATGCGGCTGTTGATGGTAGTCTTGCTTAGCCTAACTTCATCTCTCCATTGAGCTACCATTTCATAAATTCTTTATAGTTTGATATTTTTCACTGCGTTTACAGATGAACTGTGGCCGTCTTCCAGTTTTACTACACAAAGTGATTCCTCTGACTGGGCTAATTTCACATCGGAAAGAGCGGATGATTGGCCGCCATCTCAGTCCGATTGTTCGTGGCCTGGAGTTTCAGATTCAGACGACGCATGGCCAATGACATCTGCATCAGATGGTGTGTCGTTCGAAGCAGTATTTCTCGATGAAAAGCCTTCAGAAAAGAAGTGAAACTGAGTCTGTTGGCTTTGCCGTCAACCTTGTCCTGTATGACTCGGATCAAAAAGTATATATATATATATATATTTGTGCTATATGGGAGTTTCAAAACTTTTCGAAGACTGAAACTTTGGCACGATTAGGCATACAGGTCCAATCTCCATAATTGCAGCATTGTAGATAATACTGCGAGAACTAACACTAGTAATGCAACTTTGTTTCTTCTTTTTTTATGCCACTTAAAGCAAAGATAGTGAGTCTGTGTTGTACTGAGAGATGAGTATGTGAATGTTTCTATCTTAGGGGTTCTTTATATTATGATGTCTGAATTTGATTATGCAAAGATTAGTACTTAAAATGCTGGCCGGTTTAGTTGACTAAGAAGTTTTTCTATGCTTTTTTTTACGTTTATTTTCGTCGAGCTTCTAAACTTTTCCTGATATTTTCTTTACTCTTCTTGCGGGTGTTATTGTTAGCTGCAGTTGAAATATGCTATGCTCTATGTGGTTCATGTCTTTGTATTCTCATGCCAACACGGTTGGATTCTACAGATGATGGCGGTTTTCCCAAGGATCTCAGTTTGAATTGATGATTATCATTTTCGATAATTTCATCGTTTACTTGTGTAACATTTTTAGGGGGGAATGATTTGAAAAGTATTTTTGTGTAAGTGGTGTCAACTGATGTGAACTCTTCCATTTCTTTGGTGAGCAAAAACTCTAATTTTTGTGTCGGTGTAGTCGGACTAGTTTTTATTCAGGAGAATAAAACTGTGCCGTCTTTTGCAGTAGTACGCATGAGTTTATTTTAAAAATATAAAGATAGGGATTCCTAGCCAACGGCAGCTGCAGACTGTAGAGGTTAGTGTTACTCTGTCAACTGATCAGAGTGAAGAACCTGAAAGCAATTGCCTTTTAACAAAATTGTAGCGTTCCCTTGTAGTTTTGAGAGAAATGCAAGCATAGGAATTCCACCAGATGTTTGGTTTTTATAATTTTTGTTGTGTTTCTGTCTGACAGATTTTTTTAACTCAAAAGTGAAGAAAAATAGTTGAATGTACAGTATATTTACTACTTGTGAAGTACAACGACAAATTCACTGCGTTTCTTGGAAAGAGGCTCCCCACAGTTATTCGCAAAACAGACGCAAGAGAACTCTTTTCATAATTATCTGACATGGTAAAGAGGAAACAAAAAAAAAAAAAAAAACATTTCTAAAATTTTTTCAAATCGAACTTGTAATTAGAGAACATGGAGTGTTAGAAAATACCAGGAGTAAGCTTTTTTAAAACGTTACTTCTGACATAGGATGATGGATCCCCATTTCTTTCAAAAGACTCTGAGAAGCACTACTTATTCAAAACCAAAAGTCACTATCTTTCGCAGTGAGGACAGTAAGTTTAATGAACAGCCCTGCACAAAATGCAATTCAAGTTAGCTAAACTATAGCGAGGTGATAATGACGAGGTGAAGAGTAATGTTTAAAACACATCAGTATCAACTAAATCAAAATTAAAACTGTACACCAAGACAAAGTATACAAAACTTTGCGGCATTAATTTGCTAAAAGGGATGTTGAAGACTGGTAATGATAATAAAGTATACCGTATTATATTTTATGATTGTTATCTTCACCCTAGAGAGGAACTGAATTTGCTTCTACCACCTCTTAGGGTCTGATTCAGAGAAGCTTACAAATCGACTCAAAATTTCTTACTGTTGTGAAGCATCGCCAGTCTAAAAACGAGGTCGACTGCGGAGAGCCAAACATTTGTTAAGAAACAGTTTTTTAGTGGTCGGACCAAACCTTATTTTTCATAAACTTCGCTTTGAAAGATTACATTAAAAACGCTTGAAGACTAGAAAAACATTCAATGAATGAAATGCGTGGCTGAACACACTCGCAAGCGAACTGCTGCAAGCGGGGAGAATTAAGCTAACTGGTGTATGATCGCAAAGTATTGAGAAAATCAAGGCATCGCATGATTTGCATGTAAAAAAGATTGGTAACATAGAAAAAATATCTTCAATAAAAATAAAGTTACAAAAAACGTAACAGTGAAAATACTATAAGTACCTGAACTGTCTTAAGAGGACTCGCAGTAAATATCGCTAAGGGAGCACAGCAACCAAAACAGAACCAGGGCATGCAGAACAGTTCTACTCAACGAACAGAAGTACCGCAGAAAACTACGTAGTCGTAGGAAAATAGCAAGGGACCGCTCTGTAGGCCGGAGCAAGTTAAAAATAAGAATCACTTTAGCGCAGCTAGCTAAGTTGCTGAAGTCGAAAGTTCAACTTAAAGTCAAAAAACAACCCCATCTACATCTATCAAACACTAAAGCGGAAGAAATTATCATCGAACTAGTAGTAATTGAGAAAAACAACGCGAACCTTCATTGAGATGGCAACGAAAGACGTAAACAGGATGACACTAAGGTGAAAACTTCGCCTCAGAATATGAGAAATCTAGCCCTTACCAACAGTGTCGGCAAAATTAACAGAGAAGTGCCATCCAGGCTCCAGAACCTGTCGATGTCAACTCAGCAATCGAAACCTTCAGTAAGCAAGTGCTAGCAATACGAGAGTATGCAAATACTGCGAAAAGAAAGTAACTGGCGATACCGCAAAGAAAAAAAAAAAAAAAACACTGAAAATAAAAACAGATATACTCATCAACACCTTGATGAGAACCACACAAGCCGCTGTAAAGATATTTTTTTATGAGTTATGCCAGTGACCTCATATTTGAAATGTTGACAGCGGCTTCTGATCAAAGTCACTACACTAAAAGTCGGTGAATGGGCAGACCAAAAGGACCTGATCTCCAAGGCGAAGGAACGTACAGTTAGTTCAGCAAAAAAATGGCGTTTGTGTTATGTTCAACTCCAGTCTCACTATTATTGCTTCAATGTGGCACCGTTGTACTTTTATTTTTCCTCATATTTCATAATGTCGTACGGTAACTATAAAGTGTGTTGTTTTAAAACTAGTCCCTCGATTTAAATTACGATTTCGTTTATCATTTTTACGTTACTAATCCCCTTTTTTAGAAGCTAGTTCTCTCAAAATGCTCTTTCTTTTTACTGGTTTGGAGAGAACTGAAAGCATAGCAGAACTGAATCGAAAATTTGTAACCAGTAAAGGCAATGATGATTCAAATGGCAAAGTTTTTAGCGTACTCGTTTTCTGCTCTCAGTGCGTAGCTTCGGAGGTGCTACCGCATAACCGAAACTGTTTTATTTGAGGAGAGCGTTACCAGTGTTTAACAGCTGGTTAAAAACAACAGAAGAACGATAAGAAACAATGGTATGCCCAGAGAGGGATTTACAGAACACTGGTAGCAAACACTGCAAAGATCCGCTAGTTACCAGGCTGCTTCATTTCAAGATTCCGTCCACTAGGTTACCTTAAGTAGAAAAGTACACGCAATAACTAGCCACAAAACAATTCAAAGATCGGCGCAGTCTCAAGCAACTTCTACCACTGAGCAATTTATGTTGATTGAGCAGTAGGAAGCGTTGACAGATCTGTTGAAACACGCAACTGCAGTGTGCAGCTAAAGCGGTGTGAGCACTTGGCTCATTCCGATGATCCAACAAAGGCGTCTAGGTGTTTGGGTCAGAAAGCAAATAATTCACTAAGTGATGCAAAAAACGCTATTAAAAACGTAGTAAACTGACATTCCACTTTAAAAGCATTCAAGTTAGGATAATGTTAGAAGAGCTAGGAACAATGCTGAAGGACTTCCTCGAGAGTCTCAAGAGTATTGGGAGTATTGGAAGAGCCAAGGTCACAATTACAGAATCCTAAATCCTGAATATTCGCAGCCTGAATCTCTTTTGCATGCAGCTCCAGACTAGTGGTTATCCGGCCTTGTCCAAAAGATTGCTCAAAAACTTCCCCTAAAGTTTCAGAGAACTCTACTATGGGTCGTATACCGTTTTAACACTTCGGAAAGTTTGAATGAAAATTTGATTTTTCTAATTAATAGCTTGCAGATTTTCATTATTCATTTTTTGCTTTTTTCTGATTTGCCTTCCTCACCTAACTAAGTTTCAGGAAGATGTTTGCATGCTTACTTCAGTTCTGATGGGATTTCACTGCTTTTGCGTTCCTTGTCGTTCCTACTCCTGACAGTGACATAGTGTAATATAGGAATAGGCGTTTACAGTTTCCGCTCCGAATCCTCTGAACGGTCAAATCCTCGCTGCTACCGAGTTTTTTTATAAATGCCGTATCGACTTTCGTTCTTTACTTGACTTAAAGACAAGATAGGCAATAGGGAATGGTGCGCTCAGTACTCGATGAAATACTGTTGCCATTAATTATGTCGAGCAAACAGTGTTTCCCTACTGAAGCAGACTGAAAAGTAATGTTGCAATACGGAGATCCAACGTAAAACAAAACGGGAAGAGCAAAACACGCGAAAATACTACGCGCAGGCCATCAGATAAGGCAGCGCGGAATAAAATGTCGGGAATGAAACGTCGTCAGGGCACTCAATCGCCATTTGCTGCCTTCTCGACAGCTTATCCGTCAGCGAGCAGCAGCAGACAGACCAACTTTAACTTATAACAAAACCACGCAAGAAACATCAAAACAACTCCCATTTTTCAACTATCTCCAGATAATTTCCTGACGAATTCCATTCTGAATCATGCTAAAAAGTCAGACTCATGACGGTTAGAAAAACAAGCTGAGGATTTTTTGGAGTCGCGCTAACCGAATCACGCGCATTCGAGAACTATTTGAGAAAAGCAAAGACAAGTTACTGCCAAAAGAAAAAGCGTTTTTGATTCTTAAATTAAAGTAAAAAAAAAAAAAATGCGATCGGTGTCTCAGACAGTTTAGCTCAGTGCTCTAAATTCTTTTATGGGCTATTGGGTCTTCCTCGAGCGAAAACCTCGCAACCGTCACCCTCCGCCTCCTACTTTACTCCTTTGACTGTTAGCATCTCCTATCGTCTCCTCATCCAGAAAGCCACTATGGTTGGCCGTGGTGAAGAAGAGAACTGATTGATCCTTGAAGGCTTTAAAAGATATGCGCTCTTGCCGTAGGTAGGAGTCCACTTTGTCCCGACAGGCCCAACTGGGGCCTTGAATTTTTAAACCACGAGGGGGTTCAATTTCTGGGCTTTAGTTAAATCGGACAAGCATTATTGGCAAACTTTAAAAAATTCCTCCTGGAAACCGACCCCGGAATAAAATAAAAAAACATTGTAGCGCGCAAGACATGGAATCAGCATACTCAGATCCCATCCTTCCGATAAAATGCGGAAGTTTAACCTCCAGAAAACCATGTAATCGCATGGAAAATTACAGACAGCCGATGGTTATTTGGAATCTTGCCAATAACGAGAGATATTCGCCGTGCACTAAACAAATAACGGAGATGTTTAAGGACATGCAGCCGGGTGGAGGGTGGCGCCAATGTGTGGCCGATTAAAAAGATGGACTCTGATTCTGGATTCAGCGATTAAGCCGACGGTAAGAATGTGGTCACGTTGTAGTAAAGTCCGCTACCGTTCAGTTCAACACCTTTGGATGGTTTGTGTTAATCTGATTCATTTTTTATTTAGAAGGTTTTTTGGAACTTTTATTAGAAAAATTTATCCGAAAGTGATGGAACTAACTTTTGAAGCTTTTTTGTCCTGAATTTTTAATTCTCGCTGCTTTATGAACATTAAGTATTGTATAACCGAAATGTTGCTTTATTTATTGATGGGCTATCTGAAGTCACCGTTTCCGACGACTGTTGGAGAACACTGAGGGAGTTTCAGACAAAAAATTGCATCTTTAAATTTTAATGTTCTTTTTTTTTTCACTTAAATCTCAACTGCATTTTATTTTTAGGTGAACCATGGCCGTCAGTAACTTTTAAGAAGTAATCGCTTTTGGTAAAAACAAGTTAGCGATCTATCTCTTACCGTACTTTCTTCACCACTTCCTCAGTAGTCTTCATCTGTTGTATGTGTTGTATACTGATTCAGCTTTTGTGGGTGTACAATCCTTTCTAGCTGTTACAGGAGGTTTAGAACTCTGACTACTGGTTGTCGTTCCAAGGAGGTGTTACTCTCGCAGATTCAAGCAGTGCGGTTGTAGTCTATCTCTTTTTACTAATCTTTTCTGATTGAGACGAACTTCATAGACTAAAGATTCATTGAACGGTTCGATATGCATGTATACACTATGAGGTTGGTTATCTGGGTGTCATTTGTAGGAGCAAGCGTGGCCATTGAAGCGGAAGAGGTCCTTTCATTTCACTTTTTCTTTTTGACACTTGTGTAGTATTATGACGATTTCTCAAGAGGATGGGAGCATCTACTGTTCCTCATATAACGGCAATTTCAGTAAAGACGCACTGATGAATTATTTTAGGGAAGATTACTTTCGTATCATCTAACTGCTTTACTCCTGTTTTTTTATTTTGTTACGTTTTATTTTATATATTTATTTTTTGAATCCTAAACCAGCTTTTGTGTCATAGAGTGTTCACTTGGTAGTGTTTGGTGTGGTTTTTTACCGCCTAAAATACGTCAGTAATTGTTTGAACGTGACATCTCACTGGTTTAATTGTTAGTGCGAATTGTATAAAACTTCATAAGTTTTTTAATATACTCTTTTTGAAGTGTTCGGTACGTGAAATATTGTGTTGTATTTTCTTAACCTTATCAGATTATTGGAAAACGACATATTTTTATTACTTTTTTCTAGATATGTCGAAGCGAAAGGTTTTGTTAATGGGCAAAGGGGGTTCTGGCAAGACTTCCATGCGGTCGATCATTTTTGCAAACTATATTGCAAGAGATACCAACAGACTGGGTCCAACAATGGAAGTAGAACATGCGCATGTACGGTGTGTAGGGGTTCTCTTATGATTTGATTTAGATTAAATCCTTGGATTTTTACGAAATCTTCTTGATGGAAAATGCTCGTCTTTTTTCCTCATGTTATTCAATATCAGTGTCTTATTTGTTTATTGTTTAGGTTTTTGAACAATCTTGTACTTCATTTGTGGGACTGTGGTGGCCAAGAAGCCTTTATGGAAAACTATCTCATGGCGCAAAAGGATCAAATTTTTAAGAATGTACAGGTTCGTCGCTTCCTTTTGCTAAAGAAAAGGTATTAGAGTTTTCTAAATTTCTTTTAGAATGTAAGGTGACAGTTTGCAGGAAGTAATGCGTAATGTTTTGTAGGTTTTAATCTATG